ATGCTTACCAAACTTTGCAAACCACTGCTCTAAATCATCCCAGACCTGAATTCAAATCTCAGTCCTACCTCTTACTAGCTATGGGATTTTGAGCAAGTTAACTCTTCCATGCCTCACTCCTGTAAAATATCTTCTCAGGATCACTGTGACAATCACGTGCAACCATGTATGGACAGGACTTAGCACAGTTCATGGAGCGCAGGGAAGGCTCAAAAGTGTGTAGTCATCACTGTCATTATTCAGAAGACTGGTACATCTTGGGCCCTCTCTTTGTCCCACCTCCCACCTCTTGCCAACACCAGTCTTTCAACAAACTGGCGGCAGTAGCAGACCACCTGCCCAGTGCATCCTCAGATGCCTTCCTCCAGGGTCATAGTCAACTAAGTTGCCCCACAGGGGACCCACTGCCCTCGACCCTCAGCTGAATTTCATTGCCCCAGCCCTCCTGAGACCTAGCCCCACAAGCCAACCAGCTTAGCCCAGGTCCTTACCAGACCTTGCTAGGTAGGTCTACGGACCGAGAAGGTCTCTGAGGCTGCCATATACAAGCTGTGTGACTTAACTACGTTATATGGAAGTTCTCTGGTTTCAGTTTCCCACCTGTACAAGGAAGGAATCGGTCTAGAAGAGTTTCTCCATGGTCTCACCAATGGCATTTTGAGGACACAAATCTTTGAATGACACTCTCCCACACATTACAGTGCATTTAGCATTCATTGATTCTTCTTAATGCCATCACGCCTGTTCATCATTAGAGTAACAAATATATACCCCACATGTTTGGCAGGGTCAGGAATGGGGGCAGTACTATTCCATTTTGACTATGAGATATTTCTAATGATGCTTTTCCAGCTCTAACTCTCACCTTGCACTCCAGAACTAAGAAACTGGGACCATAAGCAGCACCCAAGTGGGTCTGCCTTGCCAGGACAGGATGTTAAAATGCTCTAGAAAAAGACACCAAGGCCCAGTGGTCTGCTTCCTTGAGTTAGCCAAAGATGGAGGCAGGCTGGGAAGTAGGCAGCTTCCCTAAAAAAAGGGGTAGGCAGCTCCCTACTCACACTTATGCATCAAGAAGAGCTACAGCAACCAAGGCGGGGGCGGGGGCATCTTCCCAGGCCCCATTGGGCAACTGGCTAGAAACTGATCACTGTTAGCCCAGCCGAAGGCCCCTTTCCAATCCAACTATGCATAGCCATGGTGGATTCCCTACTGCCTGAATCCTTCACTGACCCAAGCCCAACATGGATACTGAATAAAGACTCAATTACCTTCTATCTCAGGGTGAACCCCTATACAAAAAGCAGACTTTCTCTCAGAGGAGTGAGGGGTAAAACTAAGAGCTGAGTCCTGAGTACTACTTATTCATTGAGCCAGTATTTATTGCATTCCTGTGATCTGTTGGCACTGTTTTAGGCCCAGAGCATAAAAGTAGTGAACAGGAGTGCACCTTTGTGGAGTGTACCTTCTGGTGAAACTCATGATGCCATGAGGCATCTCCAGGGCCAGACACACCAGCCTTTGCATCCTGCTCTGTCACTTCTTTCTGGGTGGAACTGGCGAGTTAACACGCCTGAGCCTCAGTTTGTTCATGGGTGAAATGGGTCTAATAACAAAATCTACTTCCTGAGGATGTCAAAAGAATTAAATGATGTGTGCAAAAACTTAGGTTTTTAGTGCCTGGCTCACAAGACAAGCTCAGGTGTTTTTCCTAATAAATAAGGGAGAAAAGCAAATGTGACTGTTGCCCAAAAGAAGAGGAAAGAAAAGGCAAAATACTGTATGGGAACCACTGGTGTTGGGAACTGTTAAGTCTTTGGTAACCAAGAAGTCATTTTTCTGATTGCTGTTGCCCAAGGTATGTCAGTTGGAGGATGAATCCTAGATTCTCAGAATGAAAGAAGCCTGAGAGGCCATTTGATTTAACCCCTCCACATTAAAGAAAAGAGAGGCTGCATGACTTACCGAAGGCCACACAACCCCCAGGGAAAGTAGCAGAGCCAGAAGGAGGCAGAATGAGAGCAGAAATCCCAGATATGTGTTTAAATCCTGGTGCCTCCCATACCTGCTTCTGACCTTGGGCAAAGGCTATAATGTCTTGGAGCCCCAGGCTCTTCATCCATGAGGGGCGTCTGGTGTACAGTGGGACCCCAGTAAATATCAGTCCCCTTGTTCCCCCTCAGTGGGATTCTCTGGCCTTGCTTCACAGCAGTGGTGGCCAGGATCTACGTTTGAGGGACTTCTTCACAGAAAGCATAAAGATCAGAACAGATGGGAGAGAATGTGTGATAAGGAGGAACACAGCAGGTGTCTTTTGAGGGGCTCTGCAGCACAGCACGGGTGGCATGCCTCTGAATAGTTTGGGAGACCAAACAGACAGAAGAACGTCTTTGGTTTTAAACCCTCTGAGCCAAGTGTCTTCATCTGTGAAATGAAAATGTGTGCAAAGGATCAAATGAGAGGATTTATAATAGTAGCTAATTTATATGTGGCTTATCATGTACCAGGCACTGCTCTGAAGACTTGACATGCATGAGCTTGCTTAATCTTCACAACAGCCCCATGAGGTAGGTAACTCCTGTCCCCATTTTACAGATGAGGCAAGTAGGGCCCACAAAGGGAAGGTAATGAATAGGTCCTACTGAGAGAGACCCAGGATGTCAACCCAGGCAACAGGCTCTAAGTCTGTGCTCTAGCCCAAGGGTGGCAAACATTTTCTGTCAAGGGCCAGATGGTAAATTTTCCAGGCTTTTCAGGCCACACAGTCTCTGTCACAGCTACTCAACCCCACCTTTGCAAAGCAGCCAGAGACAAAACAGAAATGACAAGTGTGCCTGTGTTCCGATAAACCTTTATGAACATTGAGGTCTGAATTTCATAAAATGCGTGCATCACAAATTATTTTTGCTGCTTTCAACTATTTAAAAAGAGAAAAACCATCCTTGGCTCCCAGGCCATATGAAAGCAGGCAGCAGGCTGGCTTTGGCCCCTGAGTTGTTGTTCACGGAAACCTGTGCGGTCCTGAGCTCCCTGCCTCACAGGATGTAAACTCTTACATGGAAAGGCCCCTAACTGACTGGCACAGATGCAGTGGTCAGGAAGTGTTCATTCCCCTTCCTTTCCCTAATCCCATCCTCCCTTCCATCTCCCGTCAACCCAGAAAAACAGAAGAGACAAGGAACACAGCACCCGTGGCCTCAAAGGGGAAGAGAAGCTGGACGCTTTAGGTCAGCGCGTCTCAAGCGTTAATGGGTGTACATACACTTGGACATCTTGGTTAAAAGTAGATTCTGACTCAGCAGGTCTGGGGTGAGGCCTGAGATTCTGTCTTTCTAACAAGCTCCTGCGTGAAGCCGGGGCTGTGGTTCTGGGGTCTCTCATCCATGCAGCTACTTCTAGGGCTGACTCTTGTGTCCATCACACGAGTCGGACACATCGGTGCAGTGGTTCAGAACAGTGTCCCTCGGCTGGACTCCCTGGAGACAAGGCAGGGCGTGGGACAAATGATCAGGTCCGCTCCCCAAGGACAGCCCTGAGATGACTTAAACTTAAGGGGGAAGATACCAAGGGCAGAGATCAAGAGTGGGCAGAGGGAGCGTTGAGCAAAGGCCGTCAGTTGCTTTGGGCAACAGCAGACTGGGCCTCCTCCGGGCTTTGGCAGACAGCAGCCCCTCCTTCTGAGCCCGCCAGAGCTCTGATGGACCGAAGCGAGAGGCCTATTTCCTCATCGGGCCTCTGAGTAACTAGGGCACTTCCACAAGGTCACAGTTATTCATTTAAATTCCAGCTCTAATCAGCAGGCAGAGCCTGAGAAATTATCCCTTCTGAGGAGAGAGCCTGTGGTTGGAGCACCATGAAGAGCCCCTCCTGGCTGGAGGGGAAGCACTGGGGGAGGGGATGGGCGGGGTCGTACCCCTAGAAGCTCCAGCACCGATCCCTGTAGATCCTTCCTCACCTCCAAAGGGCTTGCTTTCCCCCTGGCAGAGAGTTCTAGAGCACACGGGAAGAAGGGAGAGCGCTAGGGGCGTGGCATGGTACCCGGGGCTGGGCCTGCCTACTCCTGTCCGCAGGCAGCACAGAGAGACCAATAACAAATCCCAGTGGATCGGGGTCAAAGGATAAGTACCTGACAGGGGTCTCTTCCTGGCCACAAAGGGGTTACCTGGCCTTGGAGATGTCCCTTCCCCTCCCTGGGCCTCAGTTTCCTCCACCAAGAAGTAAAATAGTTGTATTCTTTGGACAGGATAGCCTTTGAGTTCCAGTACGGCTCAGGGCCCTACAGACTCCCAATGCCCTGATCCTTGTTCTTACACTCTCTGCTCAATAAATTTTTCGAGACCCTACTATGTGCCATGGACTGCATGGAGAGTTAAGAACACAGATACCGATAAGAGGCCCACAGCTCTGTCTCGGAAATGCCAGGGTTTCAGAGAAAAAGAGCACATGCTTTGGAGGCAGACAGTAGTGAGATCCTGGTCTTGTCCTAGTGGCTGGAGACTGTGGGCAGTTAGTGACCCTCTCTGAGTCTCTTCTCACCTGAGAGGATGGCGACACCTGCCTGGGACGCTTGAGGTAAGGAGTTACATCAAAGTGAGTGTCCCTCACCTCCTTAAGGTCAGCACCCCACAAATGCCTGCTGCTACTTTATTATCCTAAACCTCCCTCCTAAAGACTAGGAGAGGGGCTGAGGATCTTCCCACACGGCAGTCCAGGGCCGCATCGCCTGCGGCTCTCCTCCTGGGTGTTTCCAGGACAGTCTCTCCGAACCCCCAGCCCATCTCCTGGCCTTGAGGAAGCTGCCTGCCGAGCCCCATTTCCATCTGCGTCTTCTACAGTAGTGTTACTTCTAACCAATAAATTACAGGTAAAATTGTAAACACGTAAACTTAATCAATCGTCCCTCACAGTCTTCCAGCTGCCCCTGGGTAAACAGTTACATTAGCTCATAAAATCCCCAATTTGTCTTTCTGAGGGGAAGAGGGAAAAAAATCAGTGAACCCCTAAAGGTTTCCTGTTTCAGAGCCGCAGCACTGCCGGTTCCACGCTGCCCGGCCAGGGCCTCGGAGAGACGGGAGGCTGCCGCTGACCTCGGCCAGGGCCAGGTGGCCCAGCCTGCCTCCTGCTGTGTCCTGGGCCACAAAGAAAGGTTCTGAACTAGTGATCTGCTTCAGGCTCAGAAACAACAAAAAAGCAAGGGGTCCAGACCACGAGGTTAGAGGATTGGCAATGAGCTCTTGACACCTCTAGGGCCGAACAAAGAGTGTAAGATTTGGAACTAGGCAGGAACCTCACCTGGCCCAGCTACTCTATGGCTGGGTGGCCTCAACACAACACTTAACCTCCTGGCCTTGACTTCCTCAGCAAGAATGGGACTCAGCAGACACACCTTAGAGGGTTACTGGGAGAATAAGATGACACAATTCGCCTTGCAATGGTGCTGAGCTGGGCTAATTATCATTACTATTAACAAAGGGAGGTTCGCCCACCTCGCTAGAAAGACAAGAGCCCGTGTGTCCTCTACACTTTACTCCGCCATACTGTTTCATCCAGGACCAATAAGTGCCTTTGTGAGAATTACAAAAAGGTGCCCCCTGGCCAGAGGCAGCCCCAGGATCGCAGGCTTGGCAAGAGGAACACAGGCTGGATTTCAGCCCCCACTCATTCCCTCAGCCAGGAGCCCCAGAAAGGGCACAACACACACAAGCCAAAGTGGGGGCCCTGGGTCACCTCTCTGCCAGGAACCAGGCAGGCGGAGGGAATGAGCCAAGTGGCACTTTTACAAACAAAACTTCAGGTGTTGGGCTTCCTACCTCACCTCCTTGAGGTGTTCCAGAAAACATCATCTGAACAGAGAGGCCATTCCTGACCACCCTCTATAAATTAGTAACCTAATTTTTAACATTTTTGTTTTTCTCCACAATGCTTATCAGCCACCTTCCAATACATGTAGTACATACATATATGTCATATGTATATAGGTGTGCATATATAACTAGTTCATTAGTTCATTGTCTTCCCTCAAGTAGAATAAAAGATCTATAAGGACAGGGATTGTCTTCTGTTTTGTTCACTGTTTTATCCCTAGTGCTTCGAACTGTGCCTGGCACATAACAGGTTCTCAATAGATATTTGTTAAGTAAAATAGTATTAAATAGGAAATTAATTTAATGGTACCTTCCTAGAAAATGCTGTCCTGTGTTTCATTTCAACCACAACTTATGGACAGAAAAAAAAAGGGAAATCCTGTGTATTAGCTGGAGATAACTGTATTATTCTTTTATGCTATGTAATATACCATATAGATCAATGGTGAGAAATCCTAAAGTCTGGCTGATTCTTTAAATGGGGAAGGAAGGAAGGAAGGAAGGAAGGAAGGAAGGAAGGAAGGAAGGAAGGAAGGAAGGGAGGGAGGGAGGGAGGGAGGGAGGGAGGAAGGGAGGGACGAAAGAAAGAAAAAGAAAGGAAGAAAGAAAGGAAGGGAGGGAGGGAGGGAGGGAGGGAGGGAGGGAGGAAGGAAGGAAGAAAGGCATTTGGATGGCTCAGTCAATTAAGCCTTCGACTTTGGCTCAGGTCATGATCTCACGGTTCAGAAGTTCAAGCCCCATGTCAGGCTTTATGCTGATGGTTCAGAGCCTAGAGACTGCTTCAGATTCTGTGTCTCCCTCTCTCTGCACCCCCCTTAAAAATAAATAAACATTTAAAAAATTAAAAATAAAAAAGAGAGAGAGAGAGAAGCGAAGGATAAATTCATTTGGAAAGAGGACTGCTAATCATTAAAACGTCACATTATCTCTAAGCAAAAAATAAACAACAGTCCTATTAGGAAATGTTTACAAGAACTTCAGTTGCTGAGAATTTTCAGTGATGGAATTTTCTGTATGTTCGAATGGAATGTGCATGGGCTTTATTTTTTTTAATTATAGTTTATTGTCAAATTAGTTTCCCTATAACACCCAGTACTCATCCCAACAAGTGCCTTCCTCCATGTGCATGGGCTTTAGAGTCCCAAAGTCCTAAGTTCAAATCCCAGTACTACCAATGACAAGTCCCATGACCTTGGTCAAATGGCTTAACCTATTGGGCTCTTAATTTCCATCATATTAAAATATAATTGTACTGATATTATACGAATTAAATGTTCAAAGGACTAAACGAGAAATGTGAAAATAGCAAAGAAAGATGATATTCCCTTCTCATTTGGTAGGGTTAGTTACTCTCCTTAACTCAAAATTCTATCCAGTTTAGAATGATCTCCAAATCATTCTAGGCCATCGCCCACTTCTTATCCATGTATGGCTGTATCCTCTTATATGCGCCTGTGTGTATGTGTGTACATATATGTCTACACACAGAGACACACACACACAATGCTTACAGTCAGAACTGTCGATGAGCATGCATTTTAAAAAGAAAAATGCACAATTAGCATAAGAATGGTTCTTCTGTTTATTCATTGACAAAAACCATTCCTCTTCTTTTTCTTTTCTTTTTCTTAATACAGTGAGCATGTATTAGTTACATAACCATTTAAAAATTGCTAATTTCATTGTGGGGCAGGGGAAAGCCATTTCTTAGAATTGAAAGAAAGAAGACTTCTCTCACCCACATATTTTCTATGCTAAGTATTCATATTTTCAACTTTCAACCACATGAAACTATAGAAGATAAGTAGATTTATGTATGACAAGGCAAAAATTCTCATTAAATTGGGGAATTCATATCTTAAGAATATCTTTAAAAATATTTTCGCAAAATGCTCATTTCCCATTACTTTGATTCACCCAGAAATGTTAATCAGAAGTAAGTGAGTGTATAAGCATGGGAACCACATTCCTTTGGCTTTAAAATGGTTTTCAAAACCAACATAAACACATCAATTCAAGACATTTCTTATTCTCAACCCAAATCAATGAAAATGCAATGTACTTAGATTTCTGTTCTGTTTAGCGTCCCTAGAAAAAGGTCTCACTCAGAGTCAAACCATGCACAATCTGGCAGAGGGGAAATTTCCACGGCAGCTGTGCAAACACAGAAACTCACCTGGACCTTGACTGACATCTGTGGCAGAATTTTCAAGGAGGGAAAGGCAGAGGAGAGAAAGGGGGAGAAAAAGGAAGAAGAGTATTAGAAGCGCACACACACACAGTGCAACGTGCCATTGCATGACTATCATGTTCATGCAGGACCCCAAAGGTACTCAACTTCTGAGCACTTTGTTCTACCTTCACCCAAAAACCACCCATGCAAGCTGAAGGGCCAAGCTCCCTTTCCACTGTGCATGTAGCAAGAGAGGTGAGCTTCACATCTGTCCGGAAAGACATCATCCTGGAATCAGATAGGGCTCCCAAAAGCCAAGCAGACTGGAATCCTGCAAGAATATTGGTTAAAATATTCTGGTTGATTTCTACACAACACTTAAGCAAATCCTCCTCGCCTCCACACACAGAACACTGGACATGATGTCAAGCAAGTTTCCCCGCAGAGAGAAAAATAATAATAAGCCACTCCCTTGAGGAAAAAAGAAAAAGAGGCATGAGAATCAAGAGCAAGTTGCATCATTATTTACCATATAGGACTGAAGGACAGAAGATAACAAAACATTTATAATCCCCTCCCACCCTGATGATACCCAGTGACCATCTTTCATCACAGACAGCAGCGTGTGTACACAAGATTGTATGTGAGTAGATCATTTGCCATACAAATTGAAATTCTGCCTCCCCTTTTAATTTTTCTCCTTGCTTTTCACCCCATCATTAATGACAGGAATTGCTACTTAAAATCACTTTTGACAACTACAAATATACATCCAGCCCTACGAAGGTTGACCTTTGAATTAAGCAAATGAACTTTCAAAAAATGAAGAATGGTTCACTCCCATTGTCTTCATGAACACAGTCTCCTCCCCCTACCCTCAAATGCAAGATAGAATTGTACTGAGAAGCCCAGTCAAGAGCAGACCAAAGCTTTGTTAAAACCTCTAGACCCGACCTGAAAGCATATGCCTGAGCCGAGGAGATGGAACAGGGGGGCTGCTTCAAAAACCACTGGCCATCCAATCAATCCCGGGTGACTCACTTAGAATCATTGGAAGGTAGACCTGGGATACCCACAGACATCATCTAGCTTAATTCATTTTTGGTTCAGATGGGGGATGAAAGAGGTTGAGAAACTCACGCAAGGTCATAAACTTAGTTCAGGTACAGAGACCAGATAAGACCCTATACCTCTTGAATCCCACCCAGTTCAGCATTTATTTAACACAAACCCTGGTCTTGCAAGGGCATATGGAACCCGAATTCAGTTTGCAGGCTAAAGTGAGTAGCCTGGAGCCATGGGGGAGACCCTCCTAGCTACCCCATGAGTGAGTAATGGGTTATCCACTGCACCTCTACTTTGCTGCAATTAGATTTGTAAAGCTTCAGCAAGTCCCTTAGGAACCGTAACTCCTGCCCCAGGAAAATCCAGGCACTGACCTAACAGAGCTATGCCCCCATACCCAGGAGGGGCAAACCCACAGCAACAGCTGAACATTTCTCCAGCCCACACCCTGTGTTCCCTAGAAGCTATATCTGCCCAAAGAGACTTCTAGAGAGCTCTGAATCATTCCTCAGCCACACCCCCTTTCAGATTTTCTGGTGAGTTGCTAGATTCAGGGGTGGAGTGGAAGCAAGAAGAAAAGTGGCAAAATAGAAGAGGTAGGAAGGGAAAACATTCTGTATAAATAACTAAGCAGGGCTGTTAACTGTGACTGATGGATTGCCTAGAATAGTAGTCATTAAAATACCCCTTCATTAAACAGGATATCAAACTATTTACATGTGGTGGAGTTCAGTGGTGGGAGTGTCAACACCATTGTTCATGGAAACACGCTCTTTGGAGGTACCAACACTCAAGGGAGACAGGATACCTTGGAACCCCAAAGTTTCTCATTTCAACATTCTGTTTACAATCTTAAACTCTGGAGACAGACAGGTTTGAGTTCAAATCCCTGCCTACTGAATGGCCTTGGGTCAATCACTGAACCTCTGAGTTGTTTTCCTCAGCAACCCATTGAGAGGAGAACAGAACCTCCTTCATGGCAGTGTTAGGAGATTAAATACTCATAAAGCACTTAACTCAGTACAAGGCAAACACTGCATAAACGTTAGCTCCACTGATTGTTATCACTTTGAATTACCACAGACAGAATTACCAAAAAATGTTGACCAGATGGCAACCACAGGAATTACAACGTGTGTGT